AAATCAAGTCGTTACTACAACTATGAAAATAATTATTTGTTAATCTTCTGATTCAGACTATCATATAACAAATAATTTGGATTGAAATAAAATTATGTAGTGATTAACATAGTTCACGATCGATATAATCGATTTTTGATTTGTTAACTCGTAATTTTAAGTGAATAACTTTATTTAGCTTTAATTTAAAATAAAGTTCAGTTAAGTGATTACATAGTTGAACTCACATTGCTTGATTTAAACTAAAAACCATCAAAAATCAGTGAGTGGTAAAGAATGAAAATTCATTGATTAGTTCCAATTTAAAATCTTATTAAATGAAGATTAAATTCAACTATGTATCTGTACAAAAAGGTGACAATTCATATAACTAAATTTTAATGATAAGAACTGACTAGAACGTAACGGTAGAAGAACAGTTTATGGAAACACTTTATATATATCATGGGCCCCCAAATGCCCTGGTATGGCCGAGAGTGGGGTGGGTTCGCTCTCCCTCTCGAAATGCTCTCACACGGCCACGCGTATACAGCCTCTGCCAGGGAAGTCCTACTCACTGCCTTCTCGTGGCAGGGGTGTTGTTTACGAAAATGAGAGGACGAAAAGCGAATGTCCGACGCTTTAACCGCATCTCAAATCAATGGTGCACATGAGCTCCAGTATCCTGAAGGAACAAATGGCGTATGAACCAATTTATTGGTCACCGGCTTCCATGGGACTGCATCTCCTCACGATGCTCCACTGCCTTGCGGGTTAGACATTTAGGTCGAAGGCTCGGGGTGTGGCCCACTAAGAAAACCACCTGCTTCGGTTTGGGCACCCGGGCAGTATCTGAGTCTACACACACAAATATAATGAAAATGATGATATTCTCTGAAAACTCTATTCACACCGCCATTTATCGTCAAACGATTCACGTTATTATTTTTATTATTGTCATTATTATTTACCACATCATTTATTCACTCCCTTTTATTCCCACTCTGTCTATCCTTATTTTTCGACTTATACAGAAGCTCGCCTGTGGTGGAAATTCGGCTCTATCTAAACGTTCTCGTGTCACTGCCTGGTTGAAAATTGTATGTTACCATAGAATTAGAGTACTGAAGCAGTTTTTCTGAAACCACGAGCACCATTCAAACTGGCTGCCTTCAACGTTCGCACACTTATGCAGGTCGGACAACAGATAGGGCTGGCTATGTCTTTGGAAAGTCTTAATATTGATGTGTGTTGTCGATCCGAGACCCGTATTCAAGACTCTGGTGAAGTACTACAAATTCGCTCTCCATCTGTCACTTGAAAAAGCTTGTTCTACGTGCGTTTATCCGGGGACCGTGTGGCATCTTCATCTGGTCTTGCTCGCGTTGGTGTCGCACTAAGCGCTAGAGCTGAGGCAGCACTAGTCGACTGGATCCATATTAACGGTCGGTTATGTGCTGTTAGATTAGGAAGTTCCATCAAAGTGAAAAGAAATCGGTGTGAGAAACGATGTCTTTTCATCGTCTCCGCCTATGCCCCGACAGATTGCAGCCCGGATGCAATCAAGGATGAATTCTACCACCAGTTAACTGTTCTTCTCCAGAAAGTGCGCTCGACAGATATTGTAGTACTAGCTGGAGACTTGAATGCTCAGGTCGGGCGTCTAGGCACAGAAGAGAGTCGTTTAGGTGGCCGATGGGGACTCGTTGGTCGCAGAATAGATAACTGGGAACGTCTACTGCACCTATGCACAGACCACAACCTGTTTCTCGCTAGCACTAACTTTCGGCACAGTCATCGCCGATGTGCCGCCTGGCGTCCTCCATCTGCATCTCAAGCCTGAACTCAGATTGATCACATCGCGATTAGCTACTGCTGGCGCGGTTGTGTACAAGACTGCCGCTCCTTTTGGAGTACCTATCTGGAATCTGATCATGCCCTGGTCTGCGCCAATCTTACCTTACTTTGCAGTGGACAACGAAGTGACCGCCACCACAGGATTGATGTTAGCAAGCTGGCTGCAACTTCTGTTGCTAGTAAGTACAGAACCGAGCTAGCTTCTAGGCTAGCTACCATTCCACCGAAAAGTATAGATGAGCATTGGTTGCAATTGCATGACGCCATGAAAATGGCGGGTTAAGTCAGTTGTGGGTTCGCGAAACGTCCCGCATATAAGCACTAGGTTTCTTCTGGTTCCTTACAACTCATTGAAGCCCGTCGGTCTACTCCGGGTGACCGTGAGTTTGACCACAGACAAAGGATGTTACGTAATGAAATCGAGAAAAGCTTGCCTAAGGACTGAGAAGCCTGGTGGTTGGAGCGTGCTAATGAGCTGGAAGCAGCAGCTGCATCTGGTAAATACCGGAAGCTCTTCCAACTCATCCGAGCCACTGACAGTAAGAAGTCTGGTGTGAGCGAAACAATCTGCGAGGATGACGGAACGCCAATCACTAACATCCATCGACGTCTTGGACGATGGGCAGAATTCTTCGAAGGGCAGTTCAACTGGCCTGCTGCTTCGGCAACATCGGTCAGACTGTCCTGCCCTCCATGGCCGGTGACGACTGATCCACCAAATGAGGCGGAAGTCCGCAAGGAACTCCAACTCTTGAGACGTTATAAATCACCGGGTCCAGACGAATTACCTCCGGCTCTTTTTAAAGATGGTGGTGACTTTCTGACTAAGGGACTGACGACGTTGTTTACAAAGATCTGGGAACTAGAGAGTGTACCAACGTCATGGAATGAGTCGATAGTTGTCCCTATCTTTAGAAAGGGTTCACGTTGTTCCTGTAACAACTATCGGGGGATAAGTCTACTTCCGATTTCATCCAAGCTATTGGATTCCGTCATACTTCGCAGGTTGTTCAGAACCCGAGAAGGATTGACTCGCGAGGAGCAGGCTGGGTTTCGTTCTGGTCGAGGATGTATTGATCATATCTTCACCCTCCACCAAGTGTTAGAACACCGCCATACTTATCAAAGGCCAACGATAGTAGTGTTTCTTGACATCAGGGCTGCATTCGATTCGTTGGACAGGACTGTTCTCTGGGATTGTCTATTGAAGTAGGGTGTGCCTGAGAAGTTTATTAAAATCCTAAAAGCCCTATATACAAACACCTCAGGTAGAGTGAGGGCATACAACTACCTTCCTCCACTATTCCATTCAAGCAGTGGAGTTAGACAGGGTTGCCCAATCTCACCATTCCTCTTCAACTTTGCCATCGATGACATTCTGGAAACAGCTCTGACGGATGTAAGTAATGGTGGTGTGGATCTGTTGCCTGGAGAAAGACTTCTCGACCTTGAGTATGCGGATGATATTGTCTTACTGTGCGAGAATGCCCAAGCCATGCAATCTGCACTTAATCAGTTGGCAATCAGTGTCCGTAGGTATGGTATGTGCTTTGCACCTTCGAAGTGCAAAGTACTTCTACAAGACTGGCAGGATTCTAATCCTCTACTCACTCTGGATGGTGAGCAGATAGAAGTAGTCGAGAAGTTCGTGTATCTAGGTAACTGCATAAGTGCTGGTGGTGGTGTGAGTGATGAGATCAATGCACGCATAGTGAGAGTCAGAGCGGTTTATGCCAATCTGGGCCACCTTTGGCGCCTTCGTGATGTTAGTCAGGCTGTAAAAGGTCGGATCTACAACGCGACGGTGAGAGCAGTTTTGCTCTATGCTTGTGAAACCTGGCCTCTCCGAGTTGAGGATGTTAGATGACTCTCTGTGTTCGATCATCGCTGTCTCCGAAGGATTGCTGACATTCAGTGGCAACACCATGCTAATAATGCAGAGGTTCGGCATCGTCTGTTCGGGCACAGAGACGATAATGCAATCGGTGTCACCATCTTGAAACACCGACTTCGGTGGCTTCGATATATTCTACGAATGTCGTCCCAGAGAATTCCACGTCGTGCATTATTTGCCGACTCTGGGACTGGTTGGAAAAAGCGGAGAGGTGGTCAGTGTATGACATGGTGTCGTGGTATGAAAGAAAGCTGCAAAGGACTGGCTTGTGTTGGTCCTTCACGACTCCCTGGCTGGGGTTTGAGAGATGGTGTAACACAGTGGCTGGAGGCGTTATCAGATACGGCTCAGAATAGAAGCCAGTGGCGATCCTGCTGTAACCTTCTTTTACTTTCTTCATAAAAAGTGGTTGCATCTTCCTTAACTGTAAGATTGCTTCTGAGTGTACTTTTTCGTCTCCCTTATCATTGTTCTCTTTTCTATTTTTATAATTCCCTAAGTTCCTCACCTTTTTTTTCCCTTCTTAAATTCTTATTGTTTTGTGTGGCATATATATATATATATATATATATATATATATATATATATATATATATATATATATATATATATATATATATATATATATATATTGGTTGCCCCCCTGTACCAATATTTATGTGTTCAAATAATTAAAATATCTTTTACTAGAATGCAATTATTGCGACGTATCAGCTAAAAGTATCCAAAAAAACACTTGTAATCAAATAACAAACAACATTAACGTTTGGCACCCGACAATATGTTGCTTCACGGTCATGGATCTAATGTAAAATAAACTCAAAAAATGATCATCTATGTATGTCAAATTGTGAATTCAAGGTTAAATTATCATTTACGCTGGTTATACTTTGATTGACTGATCTACTGAGTATTAAATAATGTCACAGTTTTGAAATTCTAATTTCTGATCAAAGTCTATAGATTACGTTACAATACATCCACTAGTCTAAATAATTTGATATCATGTGCACCATGTTTTGATGTGAGGTGGTTGGTAATGGTCAGTATGAATCTCTCGATCAGATTTTCGTGTTAGTTAGCACTTGTCAGCACGGTATACTTGCAATCTTCAGAGGATCAATTCTCTACACCCCCTGTTGTACACAATGTGAGACGTCAAAACTGAGCTATTCGAGCTGCTACTGATCATCTATAGAACTGAGTAGTAACCGAAACATGTTTGCCATACATATGAAAGACTATAAACCCATAAAATAGTGTATTAAGAAACTAATCTTCATTAAAAATGTTTTTGTTTGTTTGTCACTGTTAATCACTGTACTAGCTACAATGAAATAATAAGAAAAACTTTGTCCTGAAAAAATACTCTCAGTTTGTATAGTATCACTAATAAAAAAGAGCACAAAATACCTTAGATATATTTTTATTAGTTCTTTAGTTTTATTTTACAAGCATAATTCATATTTAAAGTTGACCATAACGAGTGAATCATTGAAGGATCATTATAACCATGAATACTGATAAATTGTAATTGTTTAAGAGTTTGCTTATCTAAACTATGTTCTGTATAAATATTTTTTAAATGAATAGGACTAATACCAAATTTTAATAGTATAATTCCTAATAGAATATCATCATATGGCATATTTGTAACATAGTTAAATCCAACACGTAATAATTGAACAACAGGCATACTTAATATAATTGTTCCACTAATTATATATGGTGGATATATACAGAATGGATAATTTGATAATGATATATATTTAGACAAGAATGGGATACGTACTGGATAAGAGATACGTTGTACATGACCGGATGCATAAATTCTATACTGATTAAGTGTAATACGACGTAATAATTGTATTAAATTTATTGGATGTAAAAAAGTATCATCATCTAGAAATAGAGTAAAAGATTTTTCAGTAGCCATACAATATTTTACAATAAAATCAATACTACCAATCCATTTTTTTACTAAATTAGAAGCATTATCAATAAAGTCAAATTGTATAATATCATGATGCATAAAATGCTCATAGTGTAGCCTTTGTAATACCCCAGTGTTATCCATACTATTGTCATAATGAATATTTTTATTTTGTATAGAATAATTTAATACATTATCATCATTGTCGTTTTGTTTACCTAAAATAAATAGAATACGAATATACACACCGAAATTTTCATAGCATTGTTGATTTCCCCATGTTTGACGAATAGCATCTCGTTGATTGAAATTATTTACATGTGACCGAATAACTAAGAGTACATCAATAGTTTGACATTTTGACAACTGAAATAATAAGGAATCATTATTATTATTATTGCACTTATAATGTTTAATTAGACATTGTTCTGTATAATTAGAAGATAGAGGAAAAATTATTTTCCATAAAGGTGGTACACTTGAATTAATTTGTAATTTTTCTTTTTCATAAATTTGATACAAATTAATAGTTGGTGGATAATTAAATAATTGATAATCCTCTTGCATATATAATGTAATCAATAACCAAATAGCTGATAGCCAAGTTATTATAAGCATAATGATACAGAGAAATTTACATTTTCTTGAACGTGAACGACAGTTCACATAACTGAATAAATAACTGACAATATATATTCGCATAATGATTATTGAACAGAATATTGTAGTTCAGTAACTGAGTATCTTTATTACTAAATGAGTAAAATGAAATAAATCAACAAAATAAAAAAAATATAATGAAGATTAAAAAAATAAAAACTCTTGAAACAAACACAAAATCTGGACACATTGAATTAAACCATCCTATTGTAAATGAAAGAAATGAAAGAATTGTTCTTTTGGAAATAGGTCTGAGAATTTCGTGAGTTTCTTTCTGGAGTTTACTTGTATTGTCAATAAAAAACTTAGTTAGTTACGCCTATTACCCCCTATGTAGAAGCATAGGCTACTCACCAGTATTCTCTATCCAACTTTGTCCTGGTCTGTCCTTTCCAGTTGCTATTCATCCTTTTCATGTCTCCTTCCGATTTCCGACGCAATGTGTTCTTTGGTCTTCCACTTTTTCGTTTCCCTTCAGCATTCGAAGTTAGCACTTACCTTGTAAACCAGCTTGATGATTTCTTTTATGTGTGTCCACTTCCAACGTCTTTTCCTAATTCTTCCTCAGCTGGAAATTAATTTGTTTCCTTCCACGCTAGGCTGTTGCTGATGGTATCCAGTCAACGGACATTCAGTGTTTTACGTAGACAATTGTTTATAAATACTCGATCGTCGTGGTAGTTCTCCAAATTTCAGCTCCGTACAGTAAAACTGTCTTGACATTCGTATTGAAGATGATATTGGCTGATAGTTGTCTCAAGTTCCGTATATTTTTCACCTGTAGGAATATGACCTTTGCTTTGCTGATCCTCGCCTTCACGTCTATATCAGATCCTCGATGTTCATCGATGATGGTGTCCAGATACGTGAACGTTCACATCTCTTCCAGAGTTTCTTCATCAAATGTGATTGTGTTGGTGTTCTCTTATTTATATTTCAAAATCTTGCATTTTACCTTGCGTATGTTGAGGCCTACTGCTGCAGAGGCTGCTGCTACACTGTTTGTCTTGACCTGCATTTATTGATATGTATGAGCTAGAAGGATCAGGTCATCTGCGAAGTCCAAATTGTCTAGTTGTATCCAACCTGTCCAGTTTATTCCGCGCTTCCTGTAAGATGTCGATGACATCATAATCCGGTCGACCACTAGGAGAACGAGAAAGAGGGAGACTAGACAGCCTTGTCTGACTCCAGTCCTTACTTGGAATGTATCAGACAGATGTCCTCCATGCATGACTTTGCAGTGAAGTCCGGAAGATGTTGACGATTTTCTCAGGTACTCCACAATGTTGAACAAGTTTCCATAACGTTCTCCTATCTACACTGTCAAATGCCTTTTCATAATCAATGAAGTTGATGTACAGTAACGAGTACCACTCAATTGATTGTTCGACGATGATCCGTAGTGTTGCAATCTGGTCTGTGCACGACCGGTCCTTATGGAATCCAGCTTGTTGATCTTGAAGTTCGATATCTACTGCGTCTTTCATCCTGTTCAGTAACACTCTGTTGAAGACTTTTCCTGGTATTGACAGTAGTGTAACGCCTCTGTAGTTTTCACACTTACTCAGATCTCCTTTCTTTGCAATCTTGATGAGGTGTCCTTCTTTCCAGTCCATCGGCACTTGTTCCTCCTTCCAAATCTTCTTGAATAGAAGATGAAGCATGTTCGTAGTTACTTCGATGTCTGACTTCAGTGCTACAGCTGGTATATTGTCGGGTCCTGCTGCTTTCCCGCTCTTGATTTGTCTGATGGCCATTCTGATTTCTTCCGTCGTTGGTGGAGTGACCTCTATCGGAAGGTTTGTGTGTCCTGCTTCGATGTCTGGTGGATTCAATGGAGCTGGTCTATTCAAGAGTTTCTCGAAGTATTCTGCCCACTTGTTCCCATGTTCTTGAATTCCGGTGATTGTCTTGCCTTCTTTGTCCTTGACTGGTCTCTCTGGTTTACTATATTTCCCTGATAGTTTCTTCGTTGTATCGTAAAGCTGTTTCATATTTCCTTCTCTTGCAGCTTTATCCGCCGTCGTTGCTAGTTCGTCCACGTATTTCTGTTAGTATCTTGCTTAGGCAATCGTTTATAAATACTTTTACTTTTCGATGATGGTTGTAGTAGTTCTCCAAGTTTCGGCTCCAAACGGTAGGCCTGTCTTGACGTTCGTATTGAAGATTCTGTCCTAATGTTGGTTGAGAGTTGTCTTGAGTAACATATATTCCTCAGTTATTATTATGCTTCATTCCTTGATCAATCCTTGCTTTCATATCTGCGTCAAATCCTCCTTGTCTACCGACGATGCTGCCCATCCAGTTCAGCAACGCTCTGTTGAAAACGTTTCCTGGCACCAATAGTGGTGTGATGCCTCTGTAGTTCTCACATTTGCTCACATTTCCTTCTCTTGGAGCTTTTTCGGCTGTTGTAGTTGGGTCCAAAGTAGATTCTTCTTTGAGTTCATATCGTAAGGTCTTTTCCTTTGTCGCTGCTAGCTCTTCCAAGTATTTCTGTTAGTCAGCTCTAATGCTCTTCTTCACTTGCTTATTTGTTTCTGTGTGTTCAGCTTGTGCTTGGACATTCTCTGCTCGTGTTCGACTATTGTTAATTGCTGTCTTCTTGTTCTTCCTTCATTTTATCCTTTGTGTGTACATTTGTGTGAAAATATTGTGCCACCTATGATCAATTTGTTAAATGCACACAGATTTACAAATCTTTCCCCGTTTTCATTCCTCTCTCCCAGTCCATGCAGTCCCATGATATCTTCATATCCGGTGTTGTCTATTCCGACTTTGGCGTTTAGATCTCCCATCAGAATGTTGAGGTCTTTTCTTGGGCACTTCTCTATGACTGATTGTAGCCTCTCATAGAATTGATATTTAACGTCGTCGTTGTTATCATCGGTGGGTGCATAACATTGTATAATGTTCATTGTGATACCCTCCTTCTTTGTTTTGAATGATGCTTTGATGATTCTGGATTCGTGAGATTCCCATCCTTCAAGAGCATTTCGTGCTACTTTGAACAACATTAGAGCAACTCCCTGAGTGTGTGGAGCATTTTCAACTTCATGACCGGAGTATAGCAGCATCTCTCCCGTATTTAGCCTTTGTTGTCCAGCTTAGGTCCAATGGGTTTCTCTGATTCCCAGTACTACCAAGTTGTATCTCCTCATTTACGCTGATATTTTACTGGTCTACCCGGTCTTTCACATTGTCCGGACGTTATATGTACCTATAAAAATGTTTGCTCTGATTGTTAAAAGGGGCATCGGCCTCATGGCTTCCGAAGGAACTCGGCTTTCATCATGAGGCGTCATATTTCTTCTAAATGAAGACCTTCTACCTCCCAGGGCAGAGTTTAAATGGTTTGAGTTATTATTTCTGGTTAGCGTTTTTTAGCGAGTTAGTTTTCTACAGGATGGGGACGCTAACCCCATGCCCAACCCTCCTCCTTTACCCGGGCTTGGGACTGGCAGTAACTCTAGGAGAGCTACAGGCGGAGTTGTACAAAAAGTACCCGAAATATATAAATCAAATTATCTACATCTATTTGTAATTATATTGCAACGTTTATAACTGTTTATGATCAGGAGATCCTTAGTCCATTGAGTGACAGTACAACAATATAAAACAACCAAAATGTTACATAATGACTCATCATCCTACTCTTCCGTTCTCCTATAGATTTCTTATTTTATACAAAGATTCCGACATTTCTAATCAAAATTAGACAGTTTAAAAGAATTCACTGTTGATAAATTTGGAATATTCAACTTTAACAAAATAATCACACAACTTGGTGGTTTTATTTCTACCCCTGGGAGAGGTGCTCATCATATTGTGCAGTGATTGTAAACTAGGAAGAAACATTCGACTTATTCTTTATATTTTAACATTCACCTATCAAAGTGATATCACATTTGCAATGAGAACTGTCAGTTTAACTAGATGAGTTGTCAGTGTATTTTATAGATTGACGAAGTTTAAATTTTTTTATTAAATTTCAAGTTTCTTATCATTAAAATTAAGTTTAATATTAAAACATACAAAGTTTTAATAAAATGTATTTTAATTAGTTCACCAAATCATGATTACCGTGTGTCACTTGATTATCATTCCTAGTTATGCAATAATGTTTGGTAGATAAGAAAACTCACATTGTCTGTCATATATTTTGTATAAAACAATGTTATCATTCGTTTTCTTCAACAATTAAAATAAACTTTTATTTTCTCATTCTGTAATAATTGTATAGTATTCTTTCGATTGATGAATATACACCAATGTATGTATTTAATAAACATGAAAACGATTACATATCATTGTACAATATCACTCATGTGAATCAAATAAAGACCACAACATAATTGAACAATTTGAAAATACTAAGAAATGAGTGGAAAATAAATGATAACAATTGTCCATTACGTTATCAACATAGTATTTTCCTAAAGTTCAGTATTAGTATGATGATAAATGAGACATATTTCAATTTGATGACATTATTTTCTTAGACAATAATAATAATCATATGAATCGTATAAATTATGACGAAGCATTATTCCGACGTTTCCCGGATTTCAGCGGTTCACTGGATGATATCAGTTAGTGATTGACAATATCCCAAAGATGAGGCAGATTTAAACAGTCACAAAGTTAAATAGTATTTATGTGTACACTAGTAACTTTGTCTAAAATGAATTTCTTGAACTTCTTTTAGAAAGCGCCCCCAAGTGCCCTGGTATGGCCGAGAGTGGGGAGAGTCCGCTCCCCCTCTCGAAATGCTCTCACATGGCCACGCGTATACAGCCTCTGCCAGGGAAGTCCTACTCACTGCCTTCTCGTGGCAGGGGTGTTGTTTACGAAAATGAGAGGACGAAAAGCGAATGTCCGATGCTTTAACCGCATCTCAAATCAATGGTGCACATGAGCTCCAGTATCCTGAAGGAACAAATGGCGTATGAACCAATTTATTGGTCATCGGCTTCCATGGGACTGCATCTCCTCACGATGCTCCACTGCCTTGCGGGTTAGACCTTTAGGTCGAAGGCTCGGGGTGTGGCCCACTAAGAAAACCACCTGCTTCGGTTTGGGCACCCGG